CGTGACGCTTTTGCACATTTCGCGTATTTGGATAATGAACAGTTGGCCATAAACAGGAACGGCTTGATTGAGCTGCTTGCGGATTATGGTGCGTAATTTTAAGCTACACTTGTGTGCTTAGTAGTTTTTTAACTTCTCGATCGCGTAAAAGTTAACTCAAATCTATATTATGGAGTTGGAACAGCGCCTCGGGAAGGGGAGGGAACTCTGATTAAGCACACTGTCTATTTAATTACGCCATCGATATTCCATGATCATACGTATACGATAAATAACAAATTCTATTGTATTTCATTTTTATTGTCATTGTAATTTTTTTATTATACATTACAGCCGTGTGGTCATAAAAACTAGAAAGCATTCGAAACATCAGAAATAATAAAATGACAATAAAAAAGGCGAGATAAAATCGTAAAAGTATAATACATAGTTTCAATTATAATTTTGATAGTATTTGTGATTTTTTTCCCCTAAATATCCACTGGTAGCGTAAGGGGTTATTCCAGCTACGTCCGGACCGGTAGGTGAGCTCACGGGCTCAACCTGAGAGAATTGCTAACACTAGCCCTAGTAAGACCAATTTTTCTACGGAATCTACCGCCGGATCGGAATCACGACCCACTGAGAAGATCCGTCGAGAAACTCAGTGGGTTGTCGGGTTACCGGAGGCCACGAGTATCGCAATGTGAGACAAGATCTAGGTCTAATGTTATGTGATGACGGTTGTTCTTTCTCGAACCGGATTACGCTATTGCTTTTCAGTAGAAATAGGCATAAAACTATAGAGTGGTACCTATGCTTACAAAACGTCCTACGATAAATAATTACGAAAATAATATGTTTTTATTAATAATAGGTGTTTTACATCCGCATCGGCTTTTCATAAATATGTCAATGTTTTATGAAGAAACTATGCTAAACAAAAATCTCATTCGTGTTATATTTTATAAAAGAAACCAGTAAAATATTTGCTCTGTATTTATTACATTTTGAGACCGCGTTTTTTCTATTAATTTTGTTTGCTACAGGTGAACGTTTCCCTCGGGAATTGACTTGGTATTTAATATCAATATTGTGTGGGGAGAGCTTCGAAGACAGAGCGAAGATGCCTGAAAACGATTTTTCGTTTATGCCAGAGGTAAATGACCTATTTTATGCTACGTATTTTAATACCATAATAATCTGTGTATAAGTAACAATACCACCATCTTGTTTTAAAGCTAACGCTTCCTTTTAATATTCTTGAAATTAAGGAATTAGTTCAAAGATTCGATACAATGCACCGATTATAGTATAACTAGACGATGACCGGTTTTTTTTTTTAATAACGCCATCTTGTTGTCTTTAAAGCGGTTAGTTGCCCTCAATTAAGAAAAATAGTATTATTATTCGCCAATAGATGTCGGGAAGAGTTGATTATTGAAAACACGAATAAAACAACATTTTCTGAAAATAAATCGTAGCTAGATCGATTTATCGCCCCCGAAATCCCCTGTATACTAAATTTGATGAAAATCGTTGGAGCCGTTTCCGAGATTCAGATTATATATATTAATATACAAGAATTGCTCGTTTAAAGGTATAAGATTCGTATTCGTAACTACTATTATAGTTTTTAAATAGAAATTCGATTACAGTATATTCAAGGGCAGTGCAAAATCATATTGCCTGTTGAAAACTACATATGGGTCGTCCAGACCACATTTCTGCGGTCGATTTGTCTTAGTAACATTTAAAATATTATTCGTGTGAAGTTTTGTAGTTATATTTTCTTTTTTGAAAATTTGTATAAAAAGACGGTTGTATATTTAACGTGTGACGAATTCGTGCGCCGATCTAACATTACTTAGTTCACGATAAAGATGATGATGATGATATCGATGTTTTAAGACTGTTTATGGAAGTAGTGTAGTGTAGTATGGACAGATGGCGGGACATCGTGAGACGCATCAAGTCTGCCCCTTCCAATACTATATGACGATCACGACTACTCTGTCAAGAGTGACACGATTGAGAAGAATGGAAGTAGTATTATTTGTTCCAGTTACTCGTTAAGTAAATGATTCGTTAAGACTAACGGGAACCTTCCGAATTTCAGGAGCTGACTCTTGACTATTTAGCCACCTACGTCATAGGTGTCGATGACTTGGAGAACATTCCTGAGGGATCTTCAGGGTTGGGGTCGTTCGACACACAATCGGCACAGACGAGTACTACGGGAGACTCTGAATAAAACTGTTGATGTTGTAAAAATCGTCTTTTATTAAAAATTGTATAAGTTACATGGCTTGTTGCTGTCGTGTTCCGATAGGTTCTGTGTGCTTAGTGCGAGTTTTTTAACGTTCTCGATAGCGTAAAAGTTAGTTTATTTATTGTATGGAATGGGATCGTTTGCCTACGTTTGCCGCTAGGGGCGCTGTTCCAACTGCATACAAAATTTGGTTAACTTTTACGCTATCGAGAACGTTAAAAAACTCGCACTAAGCACACTGCAAAGTGAAACTGCTTCGGTCTCGTTGAAACTAGATTTTCGAGATCACTTTTCGGAGAATCAACATGAAAATCGATGTTTGTAAGTGAAAGAAAAACATTGTTCAATGAGCTTTTTCAATTAAGTAAAATACGCTATTTGGTAGTAAACGTGTAATAATGTAAGGTTTTCATGTAATGTTATATGTAGTTTTTTTTTCTCTAGTATTATACAACGAACCGCTTTTTTTTATCAATGCATGCAGTCGGTACCTGTAATTGTGTTAGCATTTAGTGTCAAATCAATGTATTGATGATACCTGTAATGTTCTGTGCTGATGTATAACACGTTGGTACCCAATAAATAAAATAATAAAATAAATAAATAATAATAATTGTCAATATTACAAGTCTTTGTTGTCAAGTCAAAATGTCAAGTCATTCTAAATTTTTGTATTTTCTCTTAATGCATCGAGTTCACGACCTGTATGATGTTAAGTGATGGTAATACAACGTGAATATCGCTAGCCACAATATAATTACCGCCAGTGGTTAAGAAAAGTATACGTTTTTGTTCTTGTTTGATCTTTGTTATACGTGCGTTCAATACGCATTTCTTTAGAAAAACTGGTACCCGCCTGCGAGATTTTAACACGCATACGGTCGCATCGCTCGATCCGAATTCACCGGCCGTCTTAACCTTTAGGCCACGACCAGACCTTAGTCGTGTCAATGTCAGTGTCAGGTGTTTATACCCACCCTCTAGTGCAAGGATGAGCAACATGTGCCTCTGATTGGCTTGGCTCTAGAATTTCTTTCTAGAATTCAATTCTTTGAATTTATCGACTTTTTCACTTGTTCTTTTATCTTGAATTAAAATTTGTATATGTAATCTTTACTTTTTTCTAGTTTTATTATTTTCTATTCTAATATTTATTATAAGTTTCGTAAATTATTAATAAAAAAATTAGATGAATAAGAGACATTAATAAGATTAATAAGAGGAAATTTATGTGCGGCCCGTCAAAAAAAATTAAAATTAAAATTGGCTCATTGATTTAACAGGTTGCTCACCCCTGCTTTAGTGTGTAGTGCTATTTTTCTCATTAAACCTTTACGATGAGAGCACGATTTTCTTTTTAAAGTTTCGTACTAAGAAGCAGTTTCACTTTGAGCGACCGTACTAAATAGTTACGTAGCTTTTCGTTTTAAAAAAAAAATGCCTTGAAAGTAATCTGTCGTGATACGAATACAATGAGCTGTTTCTCAAACTTTTAAATCTAACTTATAATTTAAAATAAACATATGTACAGATTTTTCTACAAATATATACAAGCTGTTTCAACTTCGATCGTCTCCCGTCACACTGAGAGTGGTCACGTACTACACGTACACACTACTGCTTAATGCGAGTTTTTTAACGTACTCGATGGCGTCAAAGTTAACTCCAATTTGTATGGAGTTAAAACAGCGCCCCTAGCGGCAAACGAAGGGAAGCTAAAAACTCGCACTAAGCACACGGATCGTAAGCTGACCACCGCAGTGGTGAGCTTCGTTTTGAACTCGCTCCGAGCCGGTACTGGAAGCTTTTAGTGGAAGTGGAAGAATCAATAATAAAGTCTCATTAGTTACACCTACATTTTTAGATCATTAGCGGGGCCCGGCAGGCACACACAGTGAAATGTGACGTGCCCGGTCTTTTGAGGCTGCGAGAATGCGCCATGCATTGTGGAACCGGGCGTTAATTACATATTAACCCTTTGAGCGTGAACCGTCGATAGTTCGACTCTCTATGCGTATAAAGTACGGAGCGTCGGAATACCGACTATTGTGCTGTTTGATTATTTGTATTAAGTATCGACCTGTACGGACGCATTTAAGGCTTTTAACAACTATTTAAAATTATTTTGCTGTGAATTTAGCATTAATTTTTTAAGTTAAAGTTTTTAATAAGGAACTTTTTTTTCAAAAATCCCTTTGCCATTTCTGCATAATATTTGAAAAGCTCAGCACTAAAAGGGTTAATAATGGTGTCGCATATTGTATGTACAACTTTTTAATTGGTATTATTAGATATCTACGCTTCGATATAATTTGATGACACTTCATTTTTTAGGTCCGGATACGGATACTGATAATTATGGGTATTTACATTTTTATTTATTTATTTAATGGACACCTAACTATATTAAATATAAATAACAAAAGCTTTGATCCAAATCTTTAAATTAAATTAATTACACTTTATATTGTAATGTTAGAAACAGTTGTAACATGTGCATACATCGACTTTTCGCATTAAAAGTGTACAATTTCTTAAAATATTCGAAATCGAGATAATATGCGGAATCATTTGGTATCACCAGTATTTTTCTCATAAATACTGTCAAAAGAGCATAGTTTAGTTTTTAGTTTCTTTTTTTTAGTTATTTATGTTTTGACTACAATTAAATTAACAAAATTAATACATAATTTTATCTTACTTTAATAGACAGATAATGTAACTGGTAAAAAAAAAAATGTTGCAAATATGATTAATGTTAAAAATATCACAACCTTTAAACCTTTAAAACACTCTCCTGTAAATTAGTAAATTTTGAGATTATACAGTTTTAATGCAAGAAGACGACATGTTGGAACATAAAAATGTGTTCTCAAATAGATGTTGGTTCAGTTCAAAGACAGCATACTTCTTGCGTTATGAGTATTTATAAATCAACAATATACTCTGTTCAAATATTAAATGTGTATTGAAACTTTCAATTGATTGTTTAAGCTATCATCACTTCGGTAACATGTGGCGGGTAGCCATAACACAAGATATTTGTCAGATGCCTGAATCTCATTTATGACATTTTCAAGATAAGTTTGCATGTATATAAGTTCTGAACAACAACATTCAGTTTGTCGGTCTACCTAGCAACACCCGCCCGGTGGAAGGTCTTCGCTTTGTTGTTAAGTCATAAACAAATTCAAATGCAGACTACCAAACACAGCAGAAACATCTCTTGTATTTAGCATGGACTCGGCTCTCTTGAATTTTGAACACATTACAAATATAAATTATAATTAAATTTGAAATAAAATAACATGGCACCAGTTCAAGGCCATGTCAATGTTTTGCTTTTAGCATAGTTTGTCAATGTTCAGAACCACACGTGCCTAAAACATTTAAATTCAACAATCTTTTATTTTGTTACGTTATAACTCTGCTAGAATTACTTTACAATATAATGCATAGAGTGAAAAAATAATGGAATTACTTTATCTTGTCTTTACGTCCTTAGGCTGTTTAAGAAAAATATATGTAGCAAAATTTCGACAATCTCAAATAAATTATGCAACTTCTTATAGATTATTGGGCTTTAACAATATCTTATTAAGCTTCATTATGTCATAGATTGAATTAATGTTGAACACCAGAAACTATCAAGAATGGTCTTGCTCTATGTCCCTTGCTCCCTAATATTATGGACCCCGCATGACACCACCGGGGAGCTAAGGTATTCATCTCATCTATAGATGTCTCTGGAAAATCCAATGTGTATACATTTTGGGAAATGTATGTCCTTTAAAAGGGTGTCGTTTCTCAGATTTTTATTTGTTGAGGGACAGAATCAATCATATTTAGGCTAAATGCTGATACAAAAGGTTGCTTACCTTTGATGCATATCTTTCATAACAGAATTGTTGGTATTATGTAGCTTTATCGTGGTGAAAATTATGTTGTCTATATTTCAAGCTTTTAACTACAGTTAGAAACATTTCCACTTTCTGGTATTTGAGTAATTCACATTTCGACATACCCAAAGGTTAATTTATAAATTTCTTCATAACACACTTATTCATATTATTAATCTACTACACTAAACTTCAATCAGTTTTTAACCGTTTAGCGGGTGTCGTTGTACCACTACTTTGCGAGTTGGAGTCTTCTGAGAAGTTCATTGATGTAGAAGTGAACTCGGTGGGCCCCTGTGAGTCACTGACTGTTGAAAAACCTGGAAAATAAATGGGTCTTTAGTTGTGATCTTTCAAGGTGATTGGGAAATGATAAACAACATAAAACAGTTATACTATGATACTTCCAAACTTATTCCTTTGGTTTTCTGTAAATGGATAAGACCCTTAAGAATTCAGTGGCTACAAGAACCCATAAACACAAATGAAATTACCAACACCAATCTCAAGAAGCATCCCACTCTTAGTTCAAATTTAATTTCAAGTCATTAAATCGAAATTTCAATTTAATTGTCCTGAAATGTCATAACAGCTGGCTGGTTTAATCCGAAAATTAATAATTATAAATGAAAAGTGTAGTAAAATTTTACTTGTATTTTTTTGCTTCTAAATATATTAGCAATAATTACGATTTCATTCGTACTATAATAACATAGCACCTTACCTTTAAATTTTCAATTTTAAGTCCACCATTTTGATTTAAAAATATTTATCATAGCCGCGGTTCGTGTATTTAATATACATTTTATCTGTACTCACATGTATTGGAGTCTTCCGCCATCCCAAAATTAGAATTCGAAGAGTCATGAATCTTTTTTGGAGTCAGAGCATTTTCTTTATTTTCCCTTCTTGCGGCATGTTTCTTCTTCTGTTCATTAGTTGATATAGGAACCCATTTGTAAATTTTCATTGTGGTTTCACCTATCGTAACCCATTTTTTCTCCCTACAAACCATGTTTAAATAAAGTTTGTGTTATAATTGCATGTTTAATTCAAATTTAATAATTCGAAACTTACCAATGGCGAACTTTTTCAACAGCTTGCATGACTCTTTTGATGTCGTCTTTTACTCTGTTCCTAGTTTCGGCGCGGACGGAACGTGACATTTTTATGCTTATTAGCTATTTTGTTATTTTTGTACTAAAAAAAAGTATTAAATTTATTCGTGCACTTTTAAAAACAGCATGCGTTCGTTCAGGGAAATTATTTTATCAATCTTCCGCCATTTAATTTGGTTTTAAGGCAGTTTTACATTGACTCACTGACTTATTTAAAATATGGCGAAATCGTTCGTCGTATTTTGTCTATTAAGTAACGTTATTACATACTTGAGTACCTACTTTACCATGATATATTTTCCAGTTAATAATTTAACATGATTTGAAATGTAAAAACAGTTATAAATTTTCTTAATTAAGTTGATTGTCATAGTTTTCTAACATACATTACATTACTTAACATTATTATTAGTGCTCATAATTATTTTTTACCATGAAGTCCAGAGTGGAAATAAAACCAAACGGATGAGAAGATCATTATTTTTTGTCCCTTAACTTAAAATGAGATTACCTAAAAAACTTATATCCGAACAGCACTAACAGATATAGCACTAAATCGTATTAACTTTCTTTCTTCTGCTTGACTTCGACCCCTCAGGCTAGCATTGAAGCATTTTTGTTAGCGAATCGCGGCAGTGTTGGAGTTTGAATATAAATGTAATGGCAGGCAACACTTGACACATGATTACAGATTTCGAATATTAGAATTATTTTAAATGTTTAAAAAACAGATGATTGTATTCTCGTAAGAAAAAGTCAGAGTTCTCATCTAGACACGATCAGAGCAAGAGTGAGCATGTAAGAGTTTTATAAAAATATAAAGATAATAATTTTATAATGGTGTAACATAACAGTGTTCAAACTATCTGCAATATGATTATAATGAAGCAGTGTGTTTTTAAATAGCCGCTCATCACCTACGGAACCCAATCCCCTCAAATTTAACCGTCCAACAGACAGTATTCATTTATTTGTCTAAAGTCGCGAGTTTCGTTGTGAATTATTTGTGCTAACATTATCTCAAAAAGTACTCCAAGAAGACATGGGTACCTGCAACATTTGAAAGACACGTTTCACTAGACGTAATATTTTTTAATAATGGGTAAATCAAGTAAATGTATAACAGCCTTAAAATATTGATCTCAGCCTATGACATTTAATGCAACTAGACATTTGACAGTGGACATTAAAAGTTTGTAGTTTTTATTGGTAAGCCTTACATACCTACTTCAGAGTAGGTATTCGTAGTAAAAGCAAAATTTAAATTTAAAAATAAATTAATATTTTTGATTAACAGAATGCTTGCATTTAAAAAAAAATGCAAAAAATGAAGAATTTCTTTTTACAATCAATTTCATTTCTACGTAGGTATAATCTTTTTCGTCCTTTGTAAAAATAAACCACACCTTATTGAAAAAATCAAGTCAGTCAGATGTTCTTTAAAAAATTTTTGAATGTAGTTTATAACGTTTGGGGATTGGCTAAAATAATAGGAATTGAAAGTTTGACCAATAGCTTTCCTTTAATGACATTTGTGACATTTTGAAATAATTTTCAACCAATTACAAAACGCACTCATTTTTCCATAGTGTGAAAATCGACCACAGAAAACAGAAAAGTTATAGAAAATCAAAATTTTCAGCAAGATAATTATTATTATTTTCTTGAGTACAACATTAATGCAAAAATGTACAAAATGATCCTATAAAGTACAGGTAAGTGATAATGAAAATTTTAAAACTGCAGTAGAACCTATAATTTCTTTGAAAATCAAGAACGATTATATTATAATTAGTAAAATTATAAATACAAATCTATTTGTGATTTATATTTAGCGGCTGTCACTTGTTTTACGCCTCAGTATATTTTAAATGTTATTTATGACCTATAAATAGCATTAACATGTATACAAATTTTCACGCGGCTGCAGGAATATACATCGGTTGTTGTGATGATGCAACGAGATGATAAGGTGCAAACGATTCCCATATAAAACTGCTTCAGTGTTTTATAATTTTGCTTCTTATGCATGCTACTTCTCTCACAGTAGACTCAAACAAACCTTGAAAGTACTGTTTCAAGCAAAAACATAACCTCAACTTATGTGGAGCTTTAAGCTTTTTCTATCTACATTAAAATTTAAAGTTTTTTTTTTCATTTCAGTCTAATCACATTTTGCACTTTCTTAGTTACTGTTTGTTTTTTTGTTTTGTTGCAGTCCATCCTTGCATGTTGTTTAAATATAGAAGTAATACATTGACTATATTATTGGCTTGTCCGCCATAAGGTACTTCTAACTACAAGAGTGATTTCATTCCCGTATGGCGGCGTATGTTAACCGAACGATATCGATGATGGCTGGTGACGGGCCACACAATGTGTCGATGTTGAACAACGGCTCGGTACGTGTGAACATGCAAAATGTTGACTCCCCGCTCCAGATATTCGTCAGAGCGAAGAAGAAGATAAACGATATATTTGTGGAGATTGACGATTATGTCAAAGATGCTGTCACTTTTATGCATGGTGAGCCCTATAATAACAGACATATTTCATGGAGAACAATGATAATCATGAAAGATGATAGAGATATTTTAGAATATAGAAACCTCATTGACAATTAGGCTCAGTCAGTGGCAGCTAATGAACTAAGAAGATAGTTTGTTAAATAATTGTATTGAGTTTTATCAATTAAGAATCTTAATAAGTTATTTTGAAATTATAATGATTGTATTTAGTATCAGAGCATTACATATCGACGCTTGAAAGGCAAACGTGACTAAGCAACAATAACTGATTTATACATAAATGATAGGCAATAACCATATTCGATGCGCAAAAAAAATATATTTCTAGGTCTATTAAAATCATTTCAATCCTACAGCTACTAGCTAGATTCTACTACAGCTAGATTCGTTAAAATAAATTTTGTTTTCAGGTATTTCAACTTTAAATTAGTCTACTGTAAAGTTCACGCATTGTCGCTTAGTCACTTTTGCCGTTCAAGCGTCAATATATTTTAAAAAGAGTTTTCAGTCTTCTATTTTTGTATATTTTCATAATTTGAAATAGGAATTTTATTGGTAGATGTCATGCTATGAATCAATAGGTTGTGGGATGATTGTCTATGTGCTACTTACTTAACTGATAACATTAATATACATACTGTACTCACAATCTGCAATGTTTTAAATGGTCATTGCTTGTAATATTTACATTCTTTTGCTAGATAGGGTTATTGTTGATGAACTTTGATTAGCAATAATTTAAATAATTTTAAAATGAATAACACTTATTTTATTATGTAACATTCTGAATACCTCTCTCCCAATAAATTGTACTTGATTCCAGCTGTATCGGGTGAGAATGGCATTGCCACACCACAGGATATGGGCAATGTGGAGTCATATGTGTCAAAGGTGGAAGCCATCAGAGAGGTTCTCAAGCGAGATCATATGAAAGTTGCTTTCTTTGGAAGGTTTGCATATTCTTTATCTTTGAAAATCTTAAAGTTTGCTAAATAAAAAAAAAGTTGTTATTTAAGATCCTAATATGTGATAGGAACATGACTCTGAACTGTGTTAGTCTCTGGAGCTAAGATATATTATTTCAAGATTAATAATGGATTAGTCATTAAATTATTTAAAAGGTATCTTCGTTTTACCTAACCATATCTGGGATACAGTCTTATGTTGTCACTTTGAACTTGTGGATGTATATGACAAAGGTAAAATCTTCCACAGAGCGGGTGATATTGCTCGTTAGACCAACTGTCCGAATGTTGTTGTTCAGAACTTGTATATAAGCAAGCTTATCTTAAAAATGTCGTAAGCAAGAGTCAGCCCTCTGTCAAATATCTTGTGTTGTATGATGGCAACCCTCCACAAACTAAGATTATTATTACTTTTATTTACAGGACAAGCAATGGCAAAAGCACAGTTATAAATGCGATGCTCCATGACAAAATCCTACCGAGCGGGATAGGACACACGACTAACTGCTTCTTGCAAGTTGAAGGTTCTGATACAAACGAAGCCTACATGAGAACGGAAGGCTGCGAGGAGAAACTTAATGTACAGGTGAGGAAAAATCACCAACGTATATTACTACTGAGACTATTACTATTACTAAGAGGAGATTGCACAATTGTATATTCTAAGTAGTTAATCCTTTGAACTGATAAAAAGAATCTGATTACGTATGCATCCATTTGGACAGCTTAGCAGATGTTTTAGTAAGTTGTGCATCTGTTTTGACATGTTTTAATTAATAATTTACTATATTCTGTCTGAAACAACTCTATTTAAAAAAAAAATTGTTGCATGCCAATCTATACCAATATTATAAAGCTGAAGAGTTTGTTTGTTTGAACGCGCTAATCTCAACTACTGGTCCGATTTGAAAAATTATTTCAGTGTTAGATAGCCCATTTATTGAGGAAGGCTATAGGCTATATAACATCACGCTGAGACCAATACAAGTGGAGCACCAATAAATAATGTTTCAAAATCAGGGTTTTTTCCCCTTTTGAGAGCTTCCGCTGCGCGCGCTGCAGAAACGGTTAAAGTTTCGCTAAAATAATGTATGACAGAATTGTTCCTCTTTAAAAGATCTAAAAAAAAGTCCGCGACAGCATATGTCTATATGTTAAGGTTGACTGACTCACTATTATGTTTTTTATGCTAAACAAATTTGTTCTAAAATAAATCTTTATTTGTGAACTATTCCACGCGGACGAAGTCGCGGGCAAAAGCTAATTTATAATATAGGCATTACATTGTATGTAAAGATATACAATTGATCCGTCAATAGCATTAGTACAAAAACTCTTACCGTTCAAACCTAGTTAAATGTTTGTTTCAGTCCGTAAGCCAATTAGGTCACGCCCTGTGCGCGACTCGTCTGCAAGAGTGCTCGCTGGTGCACGTGCACTGGCCCCGCGAGCTGTGCGCGCTGCTGCGGGACGACGTGGTGCTGGTGGACAGCCCCGGCGTGGACGTGACGCCGAACCTCGACACGTGGATCGACAAGTACTGCCTCGACGCGGACGTGTTCGTGCTCGTGGCCAACGCAGAGTCCACGCTCATGGTCACTGTGAGTATGAGCGCGTCGATGTATGTGGCGGACCTTTTTAATCGACTTCAAAAAAGGATGGAGTTCTAAATTCTATAAATGTGTGTTACCTTATATGTGAACCAATTTCGATATATCTTTCTTTATTTGAAAGCTGGGTGTTTCAAAAAGTATGCGTTACAAGGAATACCATAACTCGTACGTTGCGCTGGCGATCGTTCAGTGTGCTTAGTGCCAGTTTTTTTTCGTTCTCGATAGCGTAAAAGTTAACTCGAATTTGTATTGAGTTGGAACGTTAGCCTAGTAATTACTAACAACTAATTTGACTTTAACTCACACTTCATAAGCAACTTAATAAGCACACAGTTAAAGTTTTTTTTATCTTGCCTAGTAGTTGGTTTCAGTTTGATAGGTGGGGCAGCTGTTCTGCTGTGAATACCGAGACTTTGCATTTATGTCTCAAGGTTGGTGGGGGCATGTACGTTGCTGTTGTCTATGGTCTCCGATGGGCCATAAGCTTGTCCACCTATATAAGCAATAAAAAAAATCATCTAATATCTTCACGACCGCTTCTCTTTATTGTATGAATCAATATTTTAGCCGCAAGCAACAGATTTGGTAGGCAGCGGCTTGGCTCTGCACAAAACATTTACTTCTTATGGGATAACAACATCAATACGCGATTAAAATTTAAAATAATTTCCCTACGACCTTGTGCTGGCAGAAAGGTCACAAACTGTGATGTCTTTGATTGACAAACGACTTGTGTGCTATATAGAATGTGTTTATAATTGTCAACAGGAGAAGAACTTCTTTCACAAAGTATCGACGAAGATATCCCAACCGAATATATTTATACTGAACAATCGCTGGGACGCGTCCGCCTCCGAGCCGGAGTATATGGAGCAGGTGAGTCGCCTCCAGCAGCAGACCACGCGTGGTCCTGCGTGATGACCAACGCCGACTGGTTTCATCAAGTCTGCTTACGAAATTAATGGTACTGAACGATATTCTATAGATGGGTGGACGAGCTCACAGCCGCCAGCCTGGTGTTAAGTGGTTACCGGAGCCCATAGACATAGGATATATTTGTGTAGTTGTTACTGGAACAGTACGGTGTATTGGAGTGATGTAGGTAAAATAAAAGAGAACTGTTCAGGTCGACAATTCGTGTAATACTGTTATAATTCAGTGTGTGCAGTTACAAATATAAGGTTAGGCGAGCTGCACACTACAACGGCAGGTTAATTTTTTTTTTTTATTGCATAGATGAGTGAACGAGCTCACAGCTCACCTGGTGTTGAGTGGTTACTGGAGCCTATAGACATCTATAACTTAAATGCGCTACCCACCTTGAGATATAAGTTCTAAGATCTCAAGTACAGTTACAACGTCTGCCCCACCCTTCAAACCGAAACGCATTACTGCTTCACGGCAGAAATAGGCAGGGTGGTGGTATCTACCCGTGCGAGCTCACAAGAGGTCCTACCACCAGTGATTACGCAAATTATCATTTTGCGGCTTTGATTTTTATTACATGATTGGGGTTTGTTTTGTGCATCAATAAATAAAAAATTGTTAGCATTAGCGATCAGTCGATAGCCGATCGCGTATTCAATGTATCGAAAATAATTTCCCAGGTACGCACACAACACGCGAACCGCTGCGTCGACTTCTTATCGCGTGAGCTGCGTGTGTGCTCCCCTAAAGAGGCTGAGGAGAGGATCTTCTTCATATCCGCCAAGGAAGCCCTGCTCACCAGGATGCGTGATCGAGAGAAACCTGTCTCTTGTGAGTCCTCCACGTTGAGAATTAGCCTGAATCGGTTCTTTGAAGCAGCTTCTTAATGTTTTGATCTGATAGTTAATGGACTGGCGATTGAGACCCGGATATGGTCTCGTCATCATTTTTTACCATTGCGCTATTTTCTATTATTGGAATCACTGTAAACCACATTGTATTGAAAACTAAACAATATTTTCCATTGCGTTAATCCACAGTGTATGTTACCAGAGATCTTTTCTGCCATGTACCATCCGGCTATGGAATGAGCTCCCCTCCACGGTGTTTCCCGAGCGCTATGACATGTCCTTCTTCAAACGAGGCTTGTGGAGAGTACTTAACGGTAGGCAGCGGCTTGGCTCTGCCCCTGCATTGCTGAAGTCCATGGGTGACGGTAATCACTAACCGTCAAGTGGGCCGCATGCACGTCTGCCCACAAGGGCAATAAAAAACAATAATTATGACTTTTTAAAATGCAGTAATGGTGTGCTTTGACATTGCTTATGATCATGAACGACCATGGCCACTCCATTAGGTGCGCCGTGTGATCGTACCGTAGAATATCTAACGTTTTTATTTATTGCTTAGATGGGTAGACGAACTTACAGCCCACCTGCTGTTAAGTGGTTACTGGAGCATATAGACATCTACGACGTAAATGCGCCACCCACCTTGAGACATAAGTTCTAAGGTCTCAAGTATAGTTACAACGGCTACCCCACCCTTCAAACTGAAACGCATTACTGCTTCACGGCAGAAATAGGCGCGGTGGTGGTTTTGTTTCCTGAGCGCTATGACATGTCCTTCTTCAAAAGAGGCTTGTGGAGAGTATTAAGCGATAGGCAGCGGCTTGGTTCTGCCCCTGGCATTGCTGAAGTCCATGGGCGACGAAAACCACTAACCATCAGGTGGGCTCGTTTGCCTACAAGGGCAATAAAAAAAAACCTACCCGCGCGGACTCACAAGAGGTCCTACCACCAGTAAACGTGCTTAAAATTACTACTAAGTAACGTAATTGCGTCCAGCTCCGATCCTGGCGGAAGGTCACCAGGTGCGCTACTTCGAGTTCGTGGACTTCGAGCGCAAGTTCGAGGAGTGCATCAGCCAGTCGGCCGTGCGCACCAAGTTCGCGCAGCACTCGCGCCGCGGCAAGAACATCGCCGGGGACGTCATGGCGGCTCTCGACCGGGTCAGGATATATACAAACTCCAGTGACGTGTTGTGATGACTCCGGCGGTTATGTCACCTCCTCCCAGGTCCTCTCGGGCGGGATCCAGATTCGGAGAGTGTAGGAGAGTCGTTTAGGGTTTTGGCAGCAGATTTTCACCCCCGTCCTGGCTACACGCATTGCGACACAGTACGGTCATCGTTCCCAATTAACCCACAGACACAGCCCACTGAGTTTCTCGCCGGATCATCTCAGTGGGTCGCGTTTCCGATCCGGTGGTAGATCCTGAGAATCACCGCTCTTGCTAGGGTTCGTGTTAGCAACGTCGTCAGGTTTGAGCCCCGTGAGCTCACCTACTAGCCCGGTGACGCTAATATGGTATCTCAAGACTATCAGCTTAGGTAGAGAAAAACCACGAACAAATCTCCGGGACGGTTTAATAGAGCCAATAGCCCAGTGAGGAATATAAATATCAACTATTTTTGAAGTGAAACATCATTGTGCGCATGTGGTAATTTTTTTACGGATGAAACGCAATAATAATAATATTGAAAAAAAATCATTAATAATTACTATATAGGACAAAAACACATGGCATTTTAATTTACAATTCGTCATTTGAGATTACAATAAATTATTTTTCATAAAGTATAAAATAATATTATAATATTTCATAAATGGTATTTACGAATTTTTTGTTTAAAAATAAAATTTGATCTATAATTAATTTACAATTATTTTGTATAAATTTAAATGATGGTTAGCTATTATTACTATTTACAAAAAATCATAAGGAATTTTAATTTAATATTCTTCATCTGAGTTTTTACTATAATTATAAAATTTTTAATCAAATATTATTGTTCAATACATAATGCTCGGTGTCTAGCAGAGAAAGTATCAAATTTGGTTTTTGCTTCTGCTATAAAGAGTACAAAAACAATCAGGTATCAAACTATATAACCACGTAGGTATTTAGTTACTACAATGATTTTAGTTTATTTATTTATTGTAATTAAGTTGTATAGTATAAAGCTTTTAATTTTTCCTAGGTGTACAACATAGCAACAGAGCAAAAAGCAGCCAAGGTCGAGAAGCAGAGGATACTTCACGAGCAGCTGTCGTCCATAGAGGAACAGCTGACCACCATCACGAGACAGATGAAGGACAAGATCAACAGGATGGTTGAGAGCGTGGAGCACAAGGTGAGCAATAAATAATTTCACCTACGATATCGTCTATAAAGGTAGCATTCCGATGTTGGTGACTGCGACCGACGACTGCGACAGGCGACCGCGACGGGGTCGCGCGTTACTGCTTAGTATGAATTTATATGGAACCCTAAACATTGCAAGCGACCCGGTCGCGCGACCGGTGGGCGTGGCTAGTAACCGACGCGGCCACCTTGCACGTCAAAATGGCGTCATTTTCCACACATGATGACAAATTATTAATAGATCTATACTAATATATAAATCTACAATGGCTTTTACGGATGTTCCGTTATAACTACTGAACCATGCATCCGATTAATTTTAAATTTTGTATCCATGTTGAAAATACATGTACTTAATGGATAGGCTAATATTTATATGAATGTTGGACTCCCTACACCAGTTGCGGGGGCGTTAATGATGAGAATCTTTGTGTGTCGAGATAAAGTTATTCGAGACAATATTTGGGAAGAAATTGGCAAAATTCTTGTTTCCGAAAGCAAGGCAAACAAAATGATTGTATCATCCTCTTCTTCGACTTTTAATAAAATCTGTATAGCTCATTTCCTAGTTGCGGATAAATTGTCCGACATAATTATACTAGACCACAACTGTACACAATAAAAACTGCGGGCAGATTGGCCGTCGGTCGCGGTCGTCAACATCGGAATGCTACCTTAAGGTCTTTGTCGCTTCATTTCGGTCACTGCCCATATGCGCAGACAACAATCACAACCCGCCATTACAGTCTCTTCAAAATTTAAACAAAATTAAACACGTGTAATGAGTTGTTTATTGAAACAAAACAACCAAGTTATTTATTTTACTATTATTTTATTAACTTATTTCTACACTTATAATTATTATAATTATATTCGAACCTGCAAAGAGAAACTACATTGAAAGCTATTGCGTCAATATTTAAACATTTTTTTAAATCGGATTTTTAAATTTTTTTTTAGTATGCACATTATCTTTTTGAATGTACCAAGCCAGAGAGAAATATTTCCAATTATAGAATGAACATAACTTGCACCATAAGCTTTTTTGGTACAATTTTTCCTTATTAGGAAAGGCAAGGGGATCTGAGCCCATACATCTTGCATCATAGATAATACTACAGGGTGGCCCATAAGTCCTTTGATATGAACAAAAATTTATTAAAATAAAACTAATTACATTATGAATTAAATTTTTATTTACATAAAAAGCTTAAAAAACGGGAATTATTTTTTGAAAATAACATCTCCTAAATGTAATCCGTTGCGATCACGGCACTCTTGCAAACGACGTCTAAAATTGTCGATGACTGCGCGGCACGTCACTGCTGAAATGCTTGTCATTTCTCTGCGGATGTTTTCTTTTAGGGCCTCAATTGACCGCGGGTTTGTGTCGTATACTTTAGCCTTAAGGTAGCCCCACAAAAAAAAATCCATCGGGGTCAGATCTGGACTACGTGGAGGCCAGGAAATGTCTCCTCTCTTAGAGATAACTTTGCCAGGAAAAAGTTGACGGATAACGGGCATAGCAGTGTTAGAGGTGTGAGAAGTGGCCCCATCCTGTTGAAACCACGTCCTGGCATTAAAGCCTGAAAAGTTTTGCAATTCTGGTATGAAAAACTCTTCGATCATAGCCACATATCGCTT